AGAGCTCCCGCAGCTTCCGCAGCCTCTCCTTGGCCTGTAAACAGAAGGGAGATCTCATCCATGGGCAGGAAGCTGGGCGCTCATGACGGGGCCTCCTGACAACGGTGAGGAGAAGACAGGCTCGCTGCGCGCTGGCTGGGCCCCGCTTCCCGCTCCGCAGGGACCCAGGGCTCGTCACCTGGTTCTGGTGAGGATGCCGCCAAGCGGTCCTTTCTTGCTCTCACGTCCCAGGGCATGAAGTGCTGCCCGAGGGGCGTCAGGAAAGGCAAACGGGGTGCACAGCATCCAATCTCGCTTGGGCGCCCTCGACACCCATGTCCCTTCCTTGTGCACGAGCTCAGCAAGCGATGCCCCGATGGCGGAATCGGACAGGCCGGGCGTGGAAGCGGATGTGGATACATCCCTTCGCTGGAGGGAGGACTGGCTTGTTCCCTGTGGCCTCCAGCCTCCCCCCGCCATCCCCCCCGCCCCCCGCTTCTGCCTTACTTGTCACCAAACCGTCAGCTGTCTTTCTTGCCCACATCCCTCTAGTGCAGCGGTTCTCAACCTGTGGGTCGCGACCCCTTTGGGGGTCGAACGACCCTTTCACAGGGGTCGCCTAAGACCATCGGAAAACACATATATAATTACATATTGTTTTTGTGATGAATCACTATGCTTTAATTATGTTCAATTTGTAACAGTGAAATTGAGGGTCACCACAACATGAGGAGCTGTATTAAAGGGTGTCGGCATTAGGAAGGTTGAGAACCGCTGCTCTAGTGTTTTCTCTGAAGTCTCAGGACGGCGCTGTCTTACCTCGCAGCCCCTAATCGGCCGCCAGGGGACATGTCAGCGGAGGCGCCTTCGGGTGGGAAACATGAATCAAACTTCTCAGCTGACGATGGCTCGGAGGTGCACTGGGCTTCTGCGCCCACCGCTGGGCGAGGTCCTGCTCAGGCTCATTGGATCGGCCAGGGCGCAGTGCGAGTCCACCAACCTCCCAGCAGTGAGCACACGGTAACAGGCCCCTGCTCTTCCTCCTCCCAGAGTGGGGGTCTGGACCCGGCCCCCCGCTTTCCAGTCAGTCTCTTCCCAAAGAAACCAGCTCCCTCACCTCCGAGCGTGCTCAGACCTCACACTGCATCCTCTCCTCGGCCGCTGCTGGGGCGGGTGCATCCAGGGACGCTGCCCTTCGCTGCCGTAATTAAAAGACCCTCTCCCGGCAACGCTGTGTTCCATTTGCATTCAAAGTTATTTTGCTCTCTCTCTGCCCTTGCCCTGAGGAATTGTGGGAATGCCAGCTAATAGGCTTTTAATGGTCCTGTGATAACTGATTATAAACTGTGAGGCAGCGGCATCCCGGGCCCAGGCGCCACTGTCGCCTTTGATCGTCGGTTGAAATTCCGTGTTCAGTGTTCAGACACCGCCATCCTTAAAAAAAAAATTTAAATTAAAGGCACCGCATTTGCTTCACCATTACTTTGATAATATTTTTAAAGCTTTTAAGGATACATATTCCTTTTGATATGTTAGGATTATTTAAAGACACATCCTGTTAAAAATTAAATTTCAAAGTCTGCAGTTGTATTTCCTGCTTCCTTTTAGAGGGGAAGATGCTGGGATTATTGAAAACACATGCAACATGTTGGACACGCATGCAAGCACACACATGCACGCACGCACACGCACGCATGCCCACCTTCAACCTTTCGCTGCCAGATACTTAGAAATAAGTTTTTCCTGGGCTTTCGGAACACAGAAGCACTGCGGTGAGGCTAGTTGATGAAAACACTTTTCTTTGAAACGTGTGGGCTCCACGGAATGGGCCTTGCCCTGTGCGTCCGCAGACAGTCGCTAGCAGCCTCCCTGAAAACAGGCCTCTGGTCCTCCTGCCAGACGCTCCCCCGGCGGCCCGGGGCCGGGAACAGCCTCAAACAGGCCGCGTGGCGCCGCCAGCCATTCGGGCCTCGCAGCCATTAGCAATGGGTTCCCATTGGCCCAGCAGCCGGGACATGTGCACGGACCGCCCAGGGACATTCCGGTGACCACCTCCTTCTCTGGCCACGCGCTGCTGGCATCTGCAAAGGCCACAGAGAACGGTCAGCCATGGCTTTAAAGGGCCGCCTGGCCCACACACCTCAGCTCGCTTTGCAGGAAAATCGCCACGGCCGACCCTGCAGACCAGGGCAGCCTCCAGGCGCATAATCCCTGTGGTTGGGATAGTTCTGAGGCAGAGGCCTCGCTGACGCTGGCCTCCGAGAGAGGGCCTTGTTCTCAGGGAGGGCCTTCCTGCAGGCCCTGCTTGGGGTTCTCAGGTGGTGGGCCCCTTACCCACAGGCCCTGCTTGGGGTTCTCAGGTGGTAGGCCCCTTACCCACAGGCCCTGCTTGGGGTTCTCAGGTGGTAGGCCCCTTACCCACAGGCCCTGCTTGGGGTTCTCAGGTGGTAGGCCCCTTACCCACAGGCCCTGCTTGGGGTTCTCAGGGGGGGTGGGGGGGGGGGAGCCTTACCTGCAGGCCCTGCTTGAAGATGTTCAATGTGAAACCCCTGAGGATGAAAGCTGAGGGCCCAGCAGGACCCTGAATACCCACAGTCTCAACTTGGAGGTTGCACTCACCGCCACTTTTTTTTTTTAAATATATTTTATTGATTTTTTACAGAGAAGAAGGGAGAGAGATAGAGAGTTAGAAACATCGATGAGAGAGATCGATCAGCTGCCTCCTGCACGGCCCCCACTGGGGATGTGCCCATAACCAAGGTACATGCCCTTGACCGGAATCGAACCTGGGACCCTTGAGTCCGCAGGCTGACGCTCTATCCACTGAGCCAAACCGGTTCGGCTTCACCGCCACTTTTAAGAGAAGCATTTGCACAGGGAGCGATGGGCAGCACAGACCCTGGAAGACCAGCTCCCTGTAGGGAACCAAGGGCCATGGAAGGAGGAGGCCCCGGCCACGCAGGTCGGCTCTTGGCAGCACGTGCCCGCTGGGCGGCCAGGGCACTTAGACACTGCCCAGCGGTGCTGCGAGGACTGGCATCAGGACCAATGATGAAGACATTACCATTGGCAGCAAAGAGTGATTTGGTAGCATTAGCTCCCAAAAGCCTTAAAAATATCCATATTTTATGAGCCAGCAATCCTTCTGAGAATTTACCCCAAGAAAATGCCCATATATTTGCACAATGATTTGTCCTTAAGGATGCTCATTACACAGTTTGCTAGAGAAAAAAATGGACACATAATATAATTGCAGTTGAATGCCATGCAGTCATGAAAAGCATCGGATGACACAGAAAAACGTGCCCATTATATTGTTCAGTGAGAGAGGTAAATGCGTGTGTAGGGTGATGATTCTTTGTAACAATCTGTAGGCATGTTCATGGTAAAATGGAAGCTTACACAACAATTTTAGAGTTACGTGTTTCTTTTTCTCTTCATTGGGATTTTCCAAATTTCCATAATGAGCATGTTTTGCTATTGTGGTCAGAAATAAAATTAAAAGATTTAAAAAAAAAAAAGAAGAAGAAGGCATAGCCATAACTGGTTTGGCTCAGGAGACAGAGCGTCGGCCTGCAGACTGAAGGGTCCCAGGTTCGATTCTGGTCAAGGGCATGTACCTTGGTTGCGGGCACATCCCCAATAGGAGGTGTGCAGCAGGCAGCTGATCGATGTTTCTCTCTCATCGATGTTTCTAACTCTCT